ACATGCCCCAGATCTCCCGCCGTTGGCCGTCCGCGTTCTACGTGTCATGTCAATAAGAGTTGTGAGCTCGAGAAAGGCTACTTACCCAGACGACGATCTTGTAATCCATCCCGGCAGAGAGAAATCCCGAATCGTCTGGAAGCCAGGCCAGAGCGGTAACTGGTTCTGAGTGCTCCTCCAGTGTCCGCAGACATACCCCCGTCTGGAAATGTAGTTAGTAAGTGGTGATGTCAATCGAAAGACTAAAACCTTGGTATTCCACATCTTTATGTGGTTTTCCGAACCAGCGAGTAATATCGAGTCGTCCGATGACCAGGCCATAGAGATCACAGGGTATGGATGGAGCAATACATGCCGCTGCTCCCACTCCCGTATCGGCATGTCCGTTTCAGGCTATAAAGTTGCATCAGTAACGTCCGCGAAGTCGCAAGAGAGACTAAACGTACGCCGATGCCCCATATAATAACGGACTTGTCGCTACTTGCGCTCGCGAGAAAATTACCATCACGACTCCACTCGAGCATCCAGACTTGGTCAGTGTGGACTTCCAAGATCGTTGTTGTTACACGCGGAAAGTCGGTCTTGTCACACTGGTGGTCTGAGAAGAGCGAGAAGCCGGTGGGACTGGCAGGCGCATTGTGGTATACACATCTTTGCCGCTGGTAGGCATTTGCCTGGTGCAGTAACGTCGAGAATCGTCGTGGAGGGACCATTATTGATGGCGGGATGTAACCTAAACCAACGCCGTCAAACTAATCCAGGCGAGAGATGCACAACGCACGATGTAGATTGTCCAGCAGTATTCGTCGCGAATTTCCGGCTGCGCCATCCCACCCTGCGCGTTGTCGTAAATCCTCCGGTTCCGAACACATCATTAGACTGATCAAACAGAGTCAACGTCATTCAATTCAGGTGGGAGGAATTGTACCTGGAAAGGACGTGTAACTGCTCAGAATCCACGTCCAAAGGGGCGAGCTCATTTCGGAGAACATGCAGGGCTTCAGTTGTCTGCTGTGCCTCCAGTAGTTCCAGATATTTCTGCTGACTTATCAGAAACCGTGCGTCCTGTGCATTCAAACCCGTCAGCCTAGGTGCGTTCAGGGATTGGCAGACCATTACCCAAAGAGCTTCGCGATCCCGCACGCCGAGACGGTGTAGTGCACTTTCCGCCTTGGACCACCGCGCCTCGAGAATAAACCTCCGGAAATCGGCGACTTCGGACGTTTCCATCGCGTACCCTGATTCTGCCTCGAGCGTTGCGGCACTCTCACTAGCCGAGAATCCGCGATAAGCACGACTGAGTGAGATAACTAGGCTGGAACGCACATATAACCAACATCCCGGAGGCTCTGTATTACAAGCCTGACAAACTCTTCCCGGTCCACCTCCGAGTCGTCATATAGATTTGAGCCGGGTAGCGTTACGCGCGCGACCGAGAGCGAGTGGGAGGTCGCAGACGACTGTTTCGAGTGGCCGTTATGCTTCTGCACTCCATTGCCTGCTATATTGACTCCAGAGGCGCCGTTGGTGCCGTTGGTGACTGCAGCGAAGCCGTTTCCATTCAGATGTCCGTTCGAGGGTCCCTGGTGATCGAGAGGAACCGACGACGGGCCCGCCACTGCGTCCGGGGATGCTGGCGAGTCCTCTGCCTGTTCCGAACCAGGAAAGCGCATGGTCGTGGAAGTTTGTGGAGAAGAGGGATCGATCGGGAGAGTGCTAGTGGAGGAACTCGGGCTGCCGATGCGCTGCCGTTTGCGAGCACGGGAAATCTCTGGCTCTGGGTTCAATGGACGGACTGAGTAAGTCAGAGTATTAGCCAAGCAGCTGGGGCACGGTACCGGAGAGAATGGGGTCGGAGGTAGGTTCGGTGCTAGAATAGTCGAGCTCTGACCTGCGACGGGTTGAGGGGACGAGCGATGCCACAACGGGAGACGGCTCCCGTGTAGGACGGTGGCTGGGAGGATCAATGGTGGCTGAACGGCGACAAGCTAGATGGTAGGGGGAAGAAAGACAAAGAAAGCCCAAGACTACATAACAAGCTCGACTATCATCAGATTCATCCTCCTCGTGTACCTCTCACAATAACCCAACGAGTCAATATTTTTTGTTCTTCTAGTACTGAGTAATACAATAAATGCAGCCTGCACATTGCCCTCGCCGCTGAGCGCCTCAGCAAGGCATCATCGCGGCCCTTCGGTCCGCATCGCTACCACCTCTTATCATGTCCATCCTGCAGCGAGGCCAGCTGGCGGTCGGGTACGAGGGGCGTACAAAGGGCAGTACCGTGCGCGACGTCCATGCACGTAGAGCGAGGGATTGGTTGGCAGCCGAGAAGAGCTTGCGAGGGAACACGCCGAGGAAACTTTGCAGATCAGAATGCTGCAAACGTTCACACCACAGGAGAAGAGCCGCACACAAACCATCGTGAATGGAGTATGCCATACATCACAGGGAGGGGAGGAGCCTCAGGCAGCCACCTGGCGACTTGAAATACCACCGACATCGAGGCTGAGTATAATCCAGGAATAATCGAGAACAAACTGGGATTGACCGGTAACGATGGAATTGGAATAATGAAACGCTACCCACGAATGCCTACGCATCTACAACGAGACAGATGGTATGTTCCGGACAATAAGAGTGGCGAGACAGTCAGGAGATAGGTCCGGTGCCCCAGAATTTCAGCAGATGCATGAGGCTCGATAAGAGACTTGAACGGTTGGAATCCGCAAGGGTCCAGAAATGAGGACTGCTCGTACGCTTCAAATTGAGAAGGACCCCAGCCGCTTTGAGCTGGAAACTACAGTGGGAGACTTCGATGCACTTGATGCACTTGAGTTTCAACTGAACGACGCCTTGTGGGTGGTACGGCCCAAGATGTGGGTGGTCCAGGGTGGTTCCAGGTGTACATACGCTCATAGCGGCCGGGAACGTGCATAGCGAGAACTATGGAGATGATGGTAGATGACAAGAGCGAGAAGCTGTGCCTCCCCATCAGTTTCCCATCTTGGCCTCAACCTTCTGTGGATGCTCACTCTCCTGCTCGCTAATTCGCAATCTGCGTACATCCTCGCGCTAATGGATATACTATCTGATCAAAATTGCTGCCGGCCTTGTCTGAGCTGGAATTGCTGATCAGAAGCTCGAGTTACAGAGCTTGCACTGACGTCTGAGATTCGGGTCGACCTGGTCGGGAATCTGGAGCTCCCTTGCTCAATGGACGACCTATATTCCTGTATTGTGTCGCCACTCGTCGCCATCATCACGCGGAAACAATTACTTGCCGCCAATTGAGCGTCATGCTTCAGGTTGTGGTGAGTATCCTCTGCCTCAGGCTCGCTAAGACTTGTTACAACTTCTCTTCCCCCGGCGTATCCTCCGTCTCGGACCCATCAAAGGTTTCCTCAGCACGGCTGGCTTTTCCCCCATCGTACAAGCGGCCTCACTGTATCCTGCTGAGCGCCTCGGTCTGCGCCTCGACCTACCAAAATTCCAGCTCCTCCACTTTGTTTCCCTGTCCACCCACTACCGTCGGTACTATCCTCGCCCTAGGCACCATAAAGGGCACGCGGCGTCTCACCAACGTCGACATCTTCACCGACTGCCAGCCCGTCATCAGCGCCGTTGCATTACCCCGCCCTCAGCCCAGCCAACACCTCCTTGCCCTCTTCCATACCCTTCTCCACCGTCTGCCTCGCCCCACCGCACCCTGGAAGTCCGTCAGAGACGGAGCCGTGGAGCTCGCGTGAAAGAGGCGGCCCTTGGCGCCGCTGCCCTTGCGTCACGGATCCCCTTCGGATTCGACCTCCCCACGGGCAAAGTTGCGACGTTGGAGGTGGGAGCCAAGGCGTTCAAGGTGCGGTGGCTCTCCGAGTGGCGTGCGTCGCGCTCTTCGACTGCCTGCAGCCGGGCAACGCGGTGACCCGGATGTACAGCGCGCTGAGCCGCCCCCAGTGCAGCGTGCTCACGCAACTGCGGACCGCCCACGTCGGACCCCTCACCACTTCCAGTTTACCCCGTCCCCCGGTGCGAACAATGCAGCGTTCCCGAAACGGTATCCCATTACTTCTGTCGTACACATGCTACTAATGGTACTTACTAGCGCCAGCCCCTCGTGCTCATCATGGACCTACCCACGGCGCGTCTCTCCTCCTCGGGGCAAAATCCGAGCTCAAACCGACTCTGCACTAGATTCCCCCGCTACCGTGACTCCCTATAAATTCTTCTCTTCGTCTCTCCTTCTTCTCTTACTTTGCTTCGTCGTCTCTCTTTCTTCTCCATTCCTCTCTCTCCCACTGGCATCTCACTACTCTTATGACCTCAACTGCCTGACTTGAAAATACCCCCCCTCCCTTACAGTGATACTTCACCGGCCCCGACCCACTGAGTCTTCGGCAGCGCAAGGGCCGTTGATGTTATTCACCAAATCCCCTCGGGTCTTCCAGTAGCGGTGGGCAGCAAAAATTCTGTCGATTGAGTGGAAGTGAAGTTACTTGCTGTCATGTATCGTCTAGATTTTGAATGTAATCTGAGATCCAACTTATGCACGGTCTTTCCTTTCCGCCCACTACTTGTGTGTAAATTTTTCTGAACATGCGGATAAATTCCTCGACCTCGGAGAGTTGTTTGTTGATTCATTTTCTCGTTTCAACCCTAATTCTCATTCAATTCCTCTGAGTTTTGGGTGTGTTGGGCATCAGTCATTGCCCGATGTGCTCGCATTTTCTGGAGAATATATGAGGGAAGTTGAAACAATTACGGAGGCGACGGAGTTTCAACATCAGAATCACCATTCTACTTTCCGCGCGGTCATTGACCATCGGCCAAGCATCTGCCTCACTCAACAGATATGGAAGATCTCTTTTCAGCGGCCCAATGGTCTAGAAGTATGATACTCCCTTCGGGTTCGACACCCGCTTATCCTGTGCATAAGCTTGGTTGGGAGTGGTCCCGATTGGGAGTGGTGGGGTGATAGGTCTTGACAATGAAGCTTTCCGAACGGCCTAATGGTCTAGTCGTATGATACACGCTTCGGGGTTTTCTCCGCTTGCACCCGTGAGCCTGTGTGTGGTCCCGAGTTCAAATCTCGGTTAGGTCCTTTTTCCCCTTGTTTCGTTCGTGCAAGGTACTACTCAACCTTATTTCTCCTTTGTTTCGTTCGTACAAGGTACGAATCAAAATCGTCACAGTTTTTTAACAAATGTACAGGAATGTGCAGAGAACAAAAGATATGCTACAAGAGGTTGGAAAACTATGCTACAGTATCGTAAGGAACGGTTAGTGGATGTCGTTAGTTGGGGAAAATGAAATCATAGTGTTCAAGTTTTGTCCTGAAAAGAATTAGTTAGAACACACTACAAAAATTGAGACTCACATGATAATGGGCTCTCCAATGGCCCGAATGAAATCCTCGGCCTGTGCCTTGACATCGGCGAACGAACGAGCAACAAGTTCGAGGATCCAGAACTCTCGGTGGCGCGTCCCGCAGCCCGAACACTTCGCGACGTTTCGTTTGTGTTCGCAATCGAACGCAAGATGGTTCAAGCGTTCTGGGCGCGGGTTAAAGATCGAAGAGAACGAAGAAAAAACTCACCCAGTCGATATCGTTGGCGCGTCTCGAACGAGAACAGCCAGAGGCGCTTGTGCCCCCCACTGTCGCATTCCCGGTACCCGCGCATTCGGTGCGTCAATTTCTTCGCCGACCCCATTTTGAATCGGAGCCCGGGGACGATGTCGTTTGGGCCAACGCGGCGGTGAATAACGTTGTCGCGCGTTTTGTCGTCCACCTCGGCAAAGCAATAGATAGCTCCGGGGCAGCCGTCGCGCGCGTACAGGCCGCTGTTCGAGACTTGAAACGCGATTTGGATTTCGGGCGGGAGGCGCGAGATGATGCGCAAGGCGACGGCGGGCGGGATGCGGCGGAGGCGAAAGGCGGGGTTCGGGACGAGGGAGTAGCGACGCGGGCGGCGGGAGCGACGGGCGACGATGGCGGCAACGCGCGCGGATCGACGAGGACCGGGCGGCGGGCGGCGGGCGGCGATGCGCGCGGATCTGCGGAGGGCGGGCGCGTGGGCGGGGTGGCGCGTTCGTTGGGGGGGTTTTGTTTTGGCCACAGGCGCCATCCAAGGTGGTGGGGGTTTTGTCAGAGGTGGTGGTTAGAGGAGGGAATAAAGGAGGAGGTGAGAAGAAAGAGAGAGATGCAAGAGAGGATGATGGTCAGAAGGGACTTAAGTGGGGGAAGCATGTCCTCGATCCTACCTTTGCAATAATCAAACCCCCCCCCCCCCAATGAGGGCGCTCCATTCATGTCTTCGACGACGACAAAGCCCAGCCCCACTTCTGATTCCCTCCCTGGCGTTGCGATTGGAGGGCGCGGGGCGGGACGTTCCCTTCCCGGAAGCACTCTGCCATCGTCCGGGGACTGGAACACGTTGTTCCAGTTGCCCCGTGAATTTGGCCCGCGACTCCGAGTCCTCAGACTGTCCCCTGGGTCGAATCTCTCGAGCTTCACGTTCCGGACGGGCGATGAGTCCGCGTCTCAAGAAACCCGGCCCCCCGTTGCACGGACCTCGCCCCGTCGATGAGGGCGCCCAACGATCCGCGCCCGCGTCAATCCCGCCACCCAAGACGACCCCTTGCCCTATCTGCGCTGCCCTGCGCCTGCTCCGACTACCTCGCGGTCCCCGAACGAGTCCAAAGACTCCAACGGCGCGTCCTGGACTGGAGGGGGCCGACTCCACGACGGAACACAACCCGCCGTGCGCCTGATCCGACTGCGCATCGTCAGGGTCCTTTCGAGCCGTCGACTCCCACTTGTACCCCTGGCAGGAAATGAGCATTTGTGTTCCTTGGTCCGAGGGACCAGTGGCCGGGGCCCTCACAATTCTCGCAGAACACGGGGCCGGTCCCGGACGCGTCCTGCGCGCAGCACGGCACTTCTAGAGCACCTTCCACTTGACTCGCGTCGCCTTCTGGCATTCCTCACTCTCCGCCCTGTGCCCATTTTTGCAGGCGTCCTCGCGAGCAAGACCAGGCCGCAGATCTGGGCGGGCTGGTGTACCATTCTTCCCGTACGACGCCGACGTGGTTCACGGTGTTGTTCGGGGCGTAGAACGCGCGCGCTCCAGCTTTGCTCACTTTCGACCGCAGAGAATCTTCGTGCGTGAGGAAATGTATGTTTGCACTCCACCATCCGAGGACATAGTATCCGGGGCTCGCGGTGCATGTCCATGGCATGAGCAGCGATTTTTGGCCCTACCTAACGGGCGCGTCCTTGAGATGAGCGTTGATTGGTTTGTCGATATCCTCTTGTTCTGAAAGTCTTCTAACCTTCCGTCAGGTTTGAGGCGGTGAACGCCAATAATCCGCGTCGCCTGCCTTGCCCCCGCGACGAAACTATCCCCCTCATGTTTCCGGCCAACGTGAACCCACTTCGGAGGAACAATCAACATGTCGGTTTGCCATTTCGAGAAACTCTACAACGGTATTTCCCATCCGTTTTGACCTTTGCTCTTGATTAAAATCGGACGGGTCTCTGCTTGAGCGTGCACGGAACAGACGAACCATGACTGTTCAACATCCAGGTTGCAACCGGCGACTTTTGAAGTTAGCACGGGACACATTTCCGGCGTTTTGGTCTTTCACCCGGCGATTGGAGGCAAGCTCAAGCAAAATCTTTACGGACAAGACGTCCGGTGTAACGCGGCAATCGCGAGCGCGCTGAAAAAGGGCCGATGGAGCGAATTTTAACATTGGGAAAATCAATACAAATTTTCAATCTGTGGAGTCGCGGCGCCGCTGCGCTCGAGCCATATGGTGCTGGAGCTTTCTGTTAAGCTCCCAGCTGATGTTGTGGTGGTGGTGCAGTTCCTCTGTTTGTTCCCTCTTCAGCTCGAACAAATCACGGATTTTGTACGCTGTGTACTGCGTGAGGAACTGTGCGCGTGGACTAATCGCAAAACCCACCCGTTTCAAGGCGCAGTTCGAGTGGGCCTGTCTCGCGCAGTTGGTCCGAGAGGGCGAGCTCAGTTTCGAGGGCGGCGGCTGAGGAGTGGTTGGGAGGTGACATTGAAAGTTTGGGATGCCTTTTACCAGTGGCGTCTCTCGCTTTTTTCAGAGCGGTAGCCCGGGCTTGGGAGACAAAGGCTTCGTGAATGAGGAGGTCGACGGTGGAGATGGATGGCATGGTTGATGTTTGGATGCCGTAAGTGGCTAGGATGTGACCGTCACCCCTCGTCTCCTCAACATGCCCTCATCCTTGCGCCGCGCTCGTCAACTTGAAATACTCGAACAACTTGATGACCTGGATGTCGAACTGCAGGGGACTTGCCACGGATCCAGCCCTGAAACCGCGCACTTTCGCCGCGCAGTACGACGACGACTCGACGACGTCCGCGATCGGATGGACTCTTCCCCGCCACCGCCACCACCGATCCAACGAGCCCATGAAGCGCAACCGAGATATTCCTCTAACCGTTTGAACCAGAATGAGCCAGGCCCAGAGCAAGACGACCGTGAAGAGGAAGACGAACCGGAGGACGACGACCCGGAAGAGGAGGACAAACACGACCGTGAAGAGGAGGAAGACGACCAGGAGGAAAACGAAGATGACGATGAGAGGGATAAACGCTCGGCGATGAAACAGGACGGGAGACAGGCTCCGGGTTCGAGTGCTCTTGCTTCCGTAAAACCAAAGGTTGGCACTTGCCCCGACTCTGTACACCCGACGATTCTCATACTCCGCAGCCCACAGCGGAGGAGAAACGCAAAACGGGCGCACAGACCAGGCTGACTGTTCTCTTGCGCAATACAACAAATCCCGCATACAGTCTCGCTCAGTTCTCTTCAGACATTACTTCCCCACCGACAGGCCAACGTGGCGAACGCGAAGACCAGGCCCTCGCCAAGATAATACGTGGCTACGACGGCGGGCAAAATGGCAGGGCCTGGGTATGGCTCTCTTGCGTTCAAGGCAACCACTGAAGCGCTCTCTAGCGAGACGGCACTTATCCCTTGTTTACCAACGACGCCCCTATATCCGACAGAGTTCTCGACTTTGATGTACACAACAACCTCTCCATCCAAGAACGTCTTTGCGCCGCGCACAATGTCAGTTGAGGCTGAAATCCAGCACCCGCGGAATTGACGTATATTTACGCTCAGGCGATTGAACATGAAGATTCAAATACCAACACTCGGGCATACGTCGACTATCTCATCAAGCACATTCACATTCTATCTTTTGGGCTGGACTACAATGAGCTCACCGGCACGAACAGCAAAAAGACCAAGACGGCGATTTATCACCTCATATATCAAAATCTCCCCGAGAACAAGGATTATTTCGCGGCGTTGAGTCCAAAACAGAGGAAGAACGAGATGAAGAAGACCCACAAGAAATCGTATCAACAGTGGTGGAAGCGCAAAATGGCGCCTCAGGTCTGGGCTAGGAATCACTTTGTCGATATCTACCTTGCGGTGAGTCTTGACCAATCACACCCTCTTGTATGATCAACGCCTTGTAGTTTGGTCCTCCGCTCTTACTAGATCCCTTTTGGAATGTCGACACTCTCACTCGTGCTGCACGCACGAAGGAGTTCCCCCTCATCCTCGAGGCGCTGTTTGCGAACATGCCCCAGGATCCCATGCATCCGGATGGTGTTACGACCGCGATGTCTCGGCGGACTGGCTCCTTGTGCGCTCTCGCTGGGGTCGCCGCAGCTATTGACCAGTCGATGTATGATTCTGTTCGTGCATTTGTTGCCGCGCACCCCGACGAAGTCCCTCGTATGCCTTAGAATAAGCTTCTTGTACTCGATCCAAATGCTCGTAACAAATTCATTCTGTCTACTGGACATGAAGGGGAGCTCGAGCGGTGGTTAGGAGCGATTGTAAGTTGGGCGCCTTGCAGGGGCACCATTTGCGTTCCGAAATTCTGCCTAAACGTAGCAAGCTCATCACTGGCAACTTCAAACTGGGCAAGAACATGGCTCACGGGAAGAGCGTCACGGTCTAGGGTTGGGTCGAGGGTTGAGTTGGGATTTGCACGGGCTGATGCGGCGGCTGGTGCGGCGGCGTCTGGGGCACCATTTGAGTTCC